ACACTCACTCACTCACTCACTCACTCACACACACTCACACACTCACACACACACACACACACACACACACACACACACACACACACACTCATCATTATAAGTCTCTCCTGGTCGTTCCTGGTCTGGTAATCCTCTGTAAATCTGTTTTTTCTCCTGCAGGTTTGCGACTCGAGAACCTGACGGTCTGTTGCTGTATAACGGACGCTTCAACCAGAAACACGACTTCATCGCTCTGGAGATCGTTAATGAACAGATCCAGCTCACGTTCTCCGCAGGTAAACGAACCACGCAGAACTCCAGATGATGTACATCAGAACCATTCGCTACAGAGTCGTGTGAGAAAATGCAGCAAAAGCTCAATGCAAATTATCAGCTGATTCACTCGTCACAATGCTAAAATAACGTACCGGACATCATTGGCCCAGATGTCACATGACCCAGAAGCTCGTATCTTATTGGTCGTCAGTTTTAATGAGTGTCAGTTGAACTAAGAATCTGCTAATGAGCGTGTGTGTGTAATTTACCGCGGTGATCTGTTGACCTCTGCAGGAGAGACGCAGACGACGGTGTCGCCCTTCATCGCGGGCGGAGTGAGTGACGGGCGCTGGCACACGGCACACGTGCACTACTACAACAAGGTGAGTCATGTGACCACAGGATATGACATCACAGCCGCGCAGGAAGTGTCTTTCAGAGTCTCAAAGGAAGTGTCTTTCTTGGGTCTCGTGACTGATCTGTTGCCGCAGGGTTGCGTGAGTGAAATGTAGGACAGATTCGTTTGTGTGTGTGTGTGTGTGTGTGTGTAACCTCATGCATTGTGCTCGACTCCTTTAAGATGACAGTCAACACACACACACACACACACACACACACACACAGGGGTCAGAGGTCAGCAGAGGCGTCACTTTCATTTGTAAATGCTTGTTCATGATGTCAGTGAATGTGATTCATCATTGCTATTTTTATTTAGCTTTTAAGTCATTTTAGTACTTAATTTATGTCAGTTTCTGATTCTAGTTTACATTTCTGAAGTTTAAGGTTTCATCTAATATATGTACATATAGTCAGAAATTTATAATCAGATCAGATCACATCTGTGTGTGTGTGTGTATATAAGCTCAAAGGAAGTGTCTTTCTTGGGTCTCGTGACTGATCTGTTGCCGCAGGGTTGCGTGAGTGAAATGTAGGACAGATTCGTTTGTGTGTGTGTGTGTGTGTGTGTAACCTCATGCATTGTGCTCGACTCCTTTAAGATGACAGTCAACACACACACACACACACACACACACAGGGGTCAGAGGTCAGCAGAGGCGTCACTTTCATTTGTAAATGCTTGTTCATGATGTCAGTGAATGTGATTCATCATTGCTATTTTTATTTAGCTTTTAAGTCATTTTAGTACTTAATTTATGTCAGTTAATGAATGATCTCATCACACAGAGGTCACGACCCCTCTCAGACTGACCCTGCTGCTGCAGGTCACACATGCTGTGAGTTTAAACGAGCCAATCAGTGCAGCACAGGGGCGGGGCTTGAGAGTCGCAAATTCTTACTGGTCATAAAATAATGACGTAAACCACACCCACGCCACACACACACACACACACCCACTCCACACACACACACACACATACACACACCCACTCCACAC